CCCTTGCCCTCAACCTTCAGACAGCTTCAACTTAATTCAAAAGGCTTTATGTGTCCCGTTGCGTTTTATTCTAGTTTCTTTTTTTTTTATAATCAAATCGAAATGTTTTATATTCTAGTTTCTTTTTTTCCTTCCTACTTCAAACAAACAAAAAAAAAGGAGGGAAACAAAAGGGAGGAAAAGATGGAGGAAAAAGACCGCGGGACTGGATGGGTTCCCCAAAGAGTTCTGGGAAGCAACATGAGACCTTGTGAGTGACGATTTGATGGACTATTATGAGGAGGTCTGGAGAACAGGGGACATGGGAGAACTGGTCGGCCAAGGGGCGCTCTCTCTCCTGTACAAAAAAGGGGATAAAATGGATGTCCGGAATTACCGACCTATCACGCTATTGACGGTGGTCTACAAGATGCTAGCAAAGGCTCTGGCCAACAGAATGATACCAGTAATGGAGAGGATTATCCACCCGACCCAAACGGGCTTCATGCAAAGCAGAAATATACAGGAAAATATCTTACTGGTGCACGAGGTCTTACAGCTAGCTAGGCATGAGTGACATAATGCGGCAATCATTTTTATCGATTTCGAAAAGGCCTACGACCACGTGGACTGGCGCTTCCTGCAGAACTGCCTGGAGAAAATGAACTTCGGTCCAGGATTTAGAAGGTGGATCCGGATCCTCCACCACAATGTGTCAACGCAAGTCCAGATTAATGGGGCTCTGGCACCCCCAATAAAATTGCAACGATCAGTTCGCCAAGGGGACCCTATTGCCCCCTTCTTGTTTCTGATCATCATGGAGGCGCTGGCCGCCAACCTCAGAACCAACAAAGACGTCACCCGGATCAAAATTTCCAACATTCCGCAGGACGCCGTCCCGATATGCTCACTCTTTGCTGATGACTTGACAGTGATGGTGGAAGCCACCCACAGGAACATAGAAGAAATCAGGAAGCTCATGGATAAATTTGAACAAGTATCAGACATGAGCGTGAACTGGGGTAGCAAAACACAGGGATGGTGGATTCACTACCAAGGAGGCAGACCCCCCGAAACGCCGAAGGTTTCATGGCTTCCTCATGAGGCCCCGTTTCGTTTCTTGGGCGTATCCATGACGGCAATCGGAAAACTGGCCTCCAACAACGACTGGATTAGTGCTGCGGCATTAAGAAAGCTAACAGAATGGAAGAACAAACATACCTCTATTTTTGGGCGTGCATTGGTAATAAACAATTGGGCGTGCATTGGTAATAAACAATGTGGTGCTCGCCTCACTTTGGTATAAGTCGGGCCTCTGGCCATTAGACAAAACAGCACTGCGACTGCTCAAGTCCAAGGTAGCGACATTCCTATGGAGGGGGGACTGTGACTGTGCCCACGCCATCAGTCGGGTGGCCTGGGAAAGCGTAATACAACCAAAGGCGAGGGGAGGGCTAGGAATTGTGGATCCGGCTACGCAAACACAAGCTTTACGCCTACAATGGATCAAGAAACTGGTCCTTGATCCCGGGAGCCCATGGTCCAAACTGGCCTTAGAACACCTGACACGCTTGGCACCAGAATCCCCTGCGGGGACAGACTCGCTCGCATGGATAGACAACCAGTTTTGGAACATCCCACACAAAATATCCCGGTACGGAGCCGACCAGCAAAAGGAACTCTTCTGGCCGGACCTCCTGAAAAATTGGCGCAGACTCCCTCTCCCGGATAGACCGCCGCCAGAACGCTGGGAGGAAACTTTTCGACAGCCTCTTTTTGGAAACAGGTGGGTAACTGACGGCAGGGGACAAATAATGAACAGCTCCGCCTCCCCATGGGCAAGTTGGGTCAAGAAGGGAATATTCAGGGTAGGGGACCTATGGGATTGTGAGAGAAGGGGAAGACGCCAACACAACTGAAAACGACGCTAAAATACTGTCATCGCATCCAGGACCACCTCGACGAAATAATCGAAAGAATCCCGCTAGCCTGGTACCAAACCCTTAAACGAGGGCCCACAATAAAAGAGGATGATTGGGTGGCCCAGCAAGACCGGCCCGGCACGGTCGCCCGAGTCCATGACGCAACGGCACAGCACGCCTTGCTCGAGTACTACATGATAAAAGAGGATAAAACATTGCAAGGTAACAGGGGCCCCTTCGTATGGCAAGACAAGGCAAGCCTAAGGAGGGTAATAGTGCTGGAGAAAGACAATGAACACGTGACGTTCTGTCCAGAAAGAAGTATTCACGAACGGGCTCTGGACCCTCTGGAATGGCGCTGGAAATGCCCGCAACTCCGGCCAGAAATGACTGTGAAATCTGCATATAAGATGCTAAGACCCAAACGACACTTACGAGAGGTGATAAACGACCGATGGGCCCGGCACCTCAACATCCATCAGGACCTTCTGAAACCCATTCGCTGGTTCCAGGAAAGAAAAGCAAAGCCGGCCAAAGTCAGTTCATTACAGTGGCAAATAGCACACCGCTGTTTGCCCACAAATGACTGGCTTGTGGATCGCACCACCCTGGAACAAAGAGGGCTGCTGACACCATGGTGCCCGCGATGTCTGAAAACCTTCCCCCCAATAAAAGGATAGAAACCATAGAGCACATCTTTATGCAGTGCCCCATTGCTCTGTTTGTATGGAGGTGGTGGGACCGAGTGTGGCGAAGAATGGGAGCATGGACGGAGTGGCCATGGTCCTGGCAGGCAATCCTAGCTGGGCACTGGCAACCCCTGCAGGAAACATCAGCATATGAGGATAACATGTACAGGGTGGGAAGGAGGGCGGTATTATGGGCATTATGGTGGCAAAGGTGCCTCCTTACCTTGGATAAAGTTCTAGTGGAAGGGGCCGAAATCTTTGAACAAATCAAGCAGCAGATCCAGCTAGAAATAATGCGCAGATGGGAGGCAGCCAAAAACCAGCTGGACCAGTTTAAACAAATCAAGGATATTTAAAGGGTGCTGACGAGTTTCTGCACTGACTGGTTGGGGGGAGAAAGGGGGCGGTGGGTGGCGGAGGTCAGATGGGGAGGGGAAGATATAGAAGAGCAGTTGATCCCAGACGCAGCTAGGGATTATCGTCTAGCCTTTAAGGATTGGACGTGCATAGACCCCACATTCCCACTCCGCCCAGCAGCAGACTTTGTGGATCCCTGCCCACCCCATCCCCTGGCCATGGTGGAATATTACACATGATTACCCCGTTTCCCTCCCCCTTACTGTGAACCGAAGCGTCAAGGGAGAGGAGGGGACCCCACTGGTGCCACTGGTGCCCCCCGGTGGCTCCTTCCCTCTCCCTTTGAAAAAGGAGTAAGGAGAAAAGGCGAGATGAAGCCGGCGCCAGGATGAAGCGGCGCTCCGAGGCTACGGTGAGGAGGTTGCTGGTCTGAGGAGTGTGCTTGTCAGATTGTTTTGAGTGTGAGGCAGTAGGTACTAGGCGCCTGGGTTCTCTCCCTCTTTCAAGCAAGCCTGCTCAGTCAATCCTCTGAATATCAGAGTAATCAATGCTGGCAGGTACTCCTCACAGACTCAAATCCCTTATCTATATTCTCATCTATAGTTTCTGCCTGAGAGAAGAAACAGGGAGGATAAGAGCTAGCGGGCAATAGCAGATATCAGGCGCCCGGTACCGGGCGAAGAGGCTCTTTCCCCTCCCCCACATGTCCTGCACAGTTAATCCTCTGGATTCAGAGTAATCAATGCTGGCAGGTACCCCTCAAGGTTCCGATTCTGATACTATCCAAGGTCACCCAAGATCATTCTTGTAAAGGGGACGCTGGACCTGTTTTCCAGCAGGTGATGCTCCCCACCAATAGATGGAGCCCCTCCTCAGGTACTAGCGGTGTCTGCTCTTACCAGCACCACTAGTACCGAAAGGAGATGCTTAAAAAAAAAAAAAAAAAAAAAAAAAAAAAAATGTTCAGCACCTGTCTCTTATACACATCTAGATGTGTATAAGAGACAGGTGT